AGACCCCAGCTCTAGGTGGGCAGCCGTCTGCCTCCACCAGTTGGGATTAGAGAGAGCAGGCTTAGTAGAGAGCTTAGTTTAAAACTACAGTGTGTCACATTTAGGAGGATCTAACGATAGAAATGGAATATAATGTTCATATGCATCGTTTCATTACTATATAATTAGCTGAAAATAAGAATTACCTGAGACTAAGCCCTTTATTTTAAAGGGAGTAGATCATAAGTAGAGTCCTACGTGTTGCACCGGCATTTTTTTGTAACCCAGAACAGACAACACCGGCTGTAGACACAGCCTTTTTTGAGTTTGGCAGCCACCGTAGTTTCTCCTACACAGAGGGGATGGTGAAGTCAGGGGTGTATGCAGTCTGAAACCTCACTGCTAGATTACACACAGGACCTTTAAAGTCACCATTCTGGAATTCTAAAATCAAAGTGAAACATTTTTTTTTAATTTATTTACTTTATAGGCATTAACAATACATATAGGCAGTGTGGGGAGTGGTGAACTACTTGTAATAAAACTACTAGTTGAACTAAATTCATAGCTGCGTAGTTATTTGAGTATGAAGTAGCTAACCAATACAGAGCAGGCAAATTTGACCATCTTTCATAGAGAAACCACCTTCATCCCCCGAATCCCAAAGACCTACCCTATGCAGGAATGGACTTCTGTAGAGCCTCAAACCAGCAGCTCTTGGACCCTCGTCGAGCTGCTAGGAAGGTCTCCACCAGGTGAGCTGCGTCCCGTGCTGACTCTAGCTCCCTTTTCTCGTCCCACACTCTGACCCCTGGAGAGAGAGAGCGGTAGAATTGCTCCAGAATGAGGATCTTCCCAAACTGCTCCTTGGTCCTCTTCTCCGGTTGAATCCACTTTTTGTACAAGTCTTTAAATCCATTGTAGGTTCTCATTAGGGCAGCATATGCATACGGCACCACCTTTTGACTTGTCTAATCATTTTTTTTGTCCCACCTTTCACTCAGGTCACGTTGGCAGTGAAGAAATTGCTGCAACATACCAGCAACTAAGTGTATATCTGGTGGCTCCTGGAATTTCTCCCTAGGATGTATGATCATGGATATCTCCTGCAGCATCCTCCTCTGGGCTGTCTCCAGCAACATCCATCTTTTGAGTTTTGAAGTGCATTTTAGGTCCCATACTAACGGCTCTGAAAGCTATAAGTCAATACGGCTGCATCTCATCCCAGACACCAAATGTAAGGTTTGGATGGTGATAAACTCTTACAACCAGGACGAAAACTAGAAGAATTGAGGAGTATAGCATAATAAAGAAATAAGCAGCATCAGTGAAGCAGGGTTTTGTTCAGAGCTCAGATTTGTTGTACTTGTTCCTAAAAACAGGTTACATGAAGTTCACAGGTTGAAAAGGGCAGGTTTACCTTGACCCCCTCTGGGTAACACACTGACACTGTCCCCCCACTTAACCTCTATACCTGTGGCCTATTTCAACCCAACTGCTACAGTGGAGGCACCTATACTCTTTCATTTAACTGTGTCTGCATTCTCATGCGTGTACTCCATGAAAGTTAGCCCCAGAAGTAGACCTCAAAGAAAGAGAGGTTAGTAGGTTAGTGAAGCACAACTTAACAAAAAATGAATTCCCCGCATTAGTTTGCTTTTGTGTAGCTTGACACAGTCAATGTGTCTTTGTGTGTGTCACTTTCACCTTTGTGAGGCGGATGTTTTCCAGTTCCCTCACAGGATACTTTCTTGTCGGAGGCACACCGGGCTCCCCCTCACTTAACGTCGAGGCTGCGAGGCGCATTCTGTGGCTGGACTCTCCCTCACTTGACTCTGAAGCTATGGGGACAGTGGAGCACATATCTATTTGTTTTATTTCTACACCAGTATTGGGTCTGAAAACATGTATTATGTATTTTTTTTTTAATAAGAGAAACATTAAACAAATATATATATATATATATTCTTATCATAGTAGTTGTTGACAGGTGAGCCCTACCTCGCGGGGGCTGCAGGGGTATACTATATGGCACAGTGAAAGTACTAACAATTTGATTCAAATAAATGTACTGTGTAAGCCTCTCTACTAATTTTATAATAATATCAAGCAATCAATCAGTACTGTGCATACTGTGCTGACTGTTTCCCACAGTAGAATATTTTATGTAAATATTGTGTACCTGGACGTTGTCAATAGACTCTGGCAAAAGATCGTGTAAATGTGTACGGTCTTCATCAAGTGCCAGTGCTAGTTGATTAAGCATTTGGCGACGACTAGTGGTCAAAATGAATAAAGGGCTGCTGCTAAATTATAATCCTGCATGCAGTCCGGTTTAGATACATTTAGATACATTTAGATACATTGCCCAAACTTTGTGATTATATAAAAATTCTCTCGGGGGAAAAAAACTACCGGTTAAACTTAATGGTCACACTGACATAAATCTATATTCTTGCCACAACATTTCACTAAGGCTTGTGTTTTTTTTCCGCCAAAACGGCAGATTTTAGTTACATTCCTGTACCTATGTATCGATACACTTTACTTCAGAAATAAAATAAATAAATAAATCTTCGAAACTTCAGACCAACGTCACAGCAATATGCATACTCTTCATGAAAATCTGAACAACATAAATCAGTATTTGTAAGTAGAGAAGAAAGGCAATTCACTTTAGAAAGTAAACATTTTGTTTTGAAATGATCTGAATACTTATACTACCACTGGAGTTACCGTACTATTTGTAATTGTACATTAGGCCCAACTTATTTACCGCTTTGCTGTGGTGCGCTCAAGTGATAAAATAGGTTTTTCCGATAGTTGTTGAATGCAACACAATCACGGTTTGGACGGAAAGAAGCGTCGCTATAGAGAAAGATGCCGGAAGTAGCGAATGTAACGGTGAGAGCAAACAGCTGTGTGTTTATCCAACACTTTGTATGACCGTAAAGCAGAATAAAGTAACATTTTCTGGGACTATTACCCTCAACGCGACGCCTTATTGACGTTGTGTCGTGTTGCTGTAGTCTCGTGCGCGGTAGCTCAAACACGCGGCTGCCGTGATTTGTTCACGCGCTGTTGTCTTCATTCAAAGTAAAAATGCCCGAAAAACTATGAACTCACGAGCTACTGTTGGTGTCTTTTGGAGACATTTACTGTATCCTTCCTTTATAAGGTTATTCTGGCATTTGATAAACTGATAGAAGTAGTTACCTGCAGCCTTTGGAACTGGTTCATAAGTAAGAGGTTCAACAGTTAAGTCAAACTTGTATTGTGTGTCCACTGTAGTGTTTGAAACGTCCTCAAAGAAGTGGTGAACTGGCTATGACTTTTTTACTTTTAACATGGCACTAAAACATGTGGAATCAATCTTATATTTTGCTAAGAAACATAGATTTACTGCATACAGACAGTCACCTCATCTCCCTGTTCTTTCTTTTGGAATTTCCATCCTTCCAACGGGGAGCCTTCATGGTGACAGGGTTAGGATTTTGGAATGACTGGAAAGATGTATGCTCCCCTTTGTCTCAGGAATCAGGAAATCAATATAAGACTGTATGCAGGCAAGCTAGACAGCTTTTTAAATTCAAGCCATGTAAAGATATAATAATTATCACTATTCACGATTATCACTATAATGGAAATTCCCCACCATAAATGTATCTTTGTTTTTTGTATGCGATAATGTTGTATATCATCCCATCCCTAGTTTTTGCTGTAATTTGGTTTAGCTATGCAATGTATTTATTGTGGAATGAGGTTACAGAATATTTAGCATTTAGTATTTAGCCATTTATCTTAACTTTTTAATTTTCCAGGAATTTTGAAAAGTAATCATGGATAGAGTTTAAGAGTGGGCACCTACAAAGGGCTGCTTGCCCTCCCCCACTCCAACCTGCACCCAGTTCCCCTGTCTAGGGATGTCACGCTCAGCTGTCCCGCCCTTCAGTGTTGGGGCCACAGCCCCAGAGGCTCTGTCCCTTCTCCACCAGCGCCTGTTGTTGGCAGAGGAAGAGGCTGAAGCTCTTATTCAAGACATGGGTGTACTGGGGGTGTCAAGGGACCAAATCTTGGGATCTGCTGAGAGAATGGGCGCCACTCAACGGCCTGTAAGTCCTCTGAAGATGCGTCGGGTCTTTGGGGACGAGGGCATGCTTTGTGACTCTCTAGTGAGCAGGGTGTGTCGCATGGAAAGTCTGCTACAGACCCTCAAACTCACCATCTTCCGTCTGGAGACTGAGAGAGAACTGGATACCTCTCACACAGGTAATGGCTCACATGTAATCCAATCAGCTAACTGAGATAAGGGGAATACATTAGTGATCTCAATAAGTCTATTGGTATGTTACAGTGGCAGCTACAGTCAGGGTGCAGCCATTCAGTGAAATCCCAACAAGAGCAGAGATTGGCGCTACTAAGAGATATCACTATTAATGATCACTAGAATTATGGATATTAACTAGAAAAACAAAAGCTGTGTGGATAATGAGTAGTGGGGCAGAAAAAACAGGCAGAGCCGGACGTTGTTACGTTTTTTGCTCTTTTGCTCTGTTCTGTATTTGTTGGTGCAGCTCATCTGAAGCAGCAGCTGGCAGCGCTGCAGCGACAGAGTGAGGAGGAGCATCACACCACCAGGAGGGAGGCGATGAAGCTCAGGGACCAACTTCAGCAGGCTTACCAGGAGAGAGACGAAGCTCGCACAGAGGTGCAGAGGCTGGGGGACACAGTGGAGGCAGCTACTGCTGTCAAGGTAACTATACTATTATTCACCATTTTCTTGTAGAGATAACAAATATACACAAACACTGCTAGATTGGATCAGTTTTATGAGAATCACCTTTGTTTTCACTTCAAATTAAATAAGTTAGTTTACCAAAGTAAACCTATGTCCCTTTGCTTTTATGATAATACTGTTGAGTAAAAGGTTCTGAGGAATGATAGTCAACTATAAATGATTCAATGGATATTTCAGAAACTGCTGAGTTCTCTGGTGTTCAGAAATCTCTTTCTGGCCTCTATTGTGTTTTGTAGCAACACTCCAAACATTAAATGCTAAAAATGTACTTGCACCCACCTGCCAAATAGCTTAGCTTACCTTAAAGACCAGAAACAGCAATCTTATTTAGCCAGGAGCAGTGACTTCCTGATTTGCCAAGAAGCTAAACAACTTTTACACGTTGTTATTTCTATGGATTAAACAGAGCAGATTGATTACCTCTGAACTGAGTGGGGCTAGCTCATCTATCGCTTGGCAAGAGAGTACATTTTACAGAATTATTCTGTTTTCTGATTCTGAAAATACAATTTGTAGTTGATCCTCTCTGTTGTTGAACTTTGCTTTGTTTTTCTTACTTTACTTACTTTATCAACAGTTCTTGTCTGTTTTCTTGCCATTTTTTAGGGATGCACAAATTTATCAGCTGAACTTCAGCATCGGACAATTTTCGGCTTGTTGACTGACCAGCCTGTTGGCAAATAAGATGGCATTTACCGATGTCAGTGGACAATGTTTATGTGTTGTATTGCATCAGTTTTGTGCTGGCTAAATATTATGTTGGTTATTTCCAACTCGGATACTGGAGAAATAATCACGTTGGTTTTCCAGCAATGGCACAAATACTGACGTGGAGCACGCAAATACCTACAGTACCTGCTCCATGTCAGCAGCACAGACAGTGAGCGGCTGCCGGCTCTGCGTCTCACATCTTGGATGAGAAGAGAAATAGACTCAGGTGCAACAAGACAGAGACATATTGGCCAAATTGTCATTTTAAACATCAATATTGGCAACAAAATCAAAATTTCTCTTCAGTTTTTGTTACTGTAAGATTAGATTTTTTGCACTTTGCTTATTGCACCAGGACCTAATTACTGTAAACTACAGTGATCAGTGTCTTCTTGGCATAGAAAACAGGTCCAAGGGGACAACAAATCTGTTTGACGTGCTGTAGGTGCATAGTGAGCACTGTAGTGGTCATTGTGTCATGGGTTGTAACCGTGTCTTTTGCTCCAGATGGATGTGGCTCTCGCTGCTGAGGAACTGAAGATTGTCAAATTAGAGATGAGTCAGAGACTGAAGGAGGTGAGTGGCTTATTTTAGCCCTTTTATCCCCAACCATCAGACATTTGTTTTATAAGCCCTGACCAGCTGAAAATGAACCATCTTAACAAAACTCTCCTCTGATTTCAGATGAAAGAGCAGATGAGGCAGGAGTCCGCCCGCTCAGCCGAAGCCACGAGATCTCACAGTGAGCTTCACCATCGGGTTGAGGAGATGGAGAGAGTGGTGGAGATGGAGAGGAGACAGGTACATTGTAAGAGAGCTCACTGAGTAATGAGCATGTGTAAACAGCAGCTGAAATGTTGTCTGCCTCCGGCCCCCACAGGCTCTGCTGCTGCAGTCGGATTGCCATGCCTTGCATGTGGAAGTCCAGACCGGCCAGCGGCAACTGGAGGAAGAGAAAGACAGAGGCAGACAGCTGGACGAGCACTGTCAGCGGCTCAAAGACCAGGCAGGTTAGGAGCATCAGGGGACACAAAAGCAGTGAGCTCTGGCTGTGCTGCAACCATCGCATTAAACTCCCATAGAAATAGCCAGTCTTCTCACCAATGGTCCTGTTTGCTCATGTAGGTCATATAGAAGCATCAGTATTACACTGAGACAAATTCAGAACCAGCTAACTACTCCTTGTTGTACGTTTAAGAGAAAGCTTACATTTATTTATGGGTAAAGATGTAACAACACAAATTTTTAACGAGTGTTTTAACAAAATGAAACTGAAATGATTACGATATACCTTTACATTCATATTTATTTGTTTTTTTATTAAGTTTATTCTCACGTACACAATCATTCACAGGACAACATATAGTAAAAATCTTAGGTGCCTATAGATCCAGACCGAGAAGGGTTATCTAACAGGATTTTCACTGTGATTTGGTTTTATATAAGGTTAGTCAGGTACTCCACAAGTCATATTTGTGTTATTGATATTTCCCAGTGCTTCACATGTAATATAATGTTTGGATCTTGAACTGCATTCTTCCATTTGATTTTGACAGAAATGAAGGACTCCCTCGTGTCTGAGTTGAAAACTGAACTGAAAGTAAGTTGAGAGAGACAGATCAGTGAATGAAACTCTCCTCAGAAAATCCTCGCCTGTAAAATGTATGATCTGTAACACATGTTATGACACTATTTTTGTTGGTGAATACTGTATGTGTTGTGTTCAGAGTGTTTGTCAGGCCCTTCAGAGGCAGCAGACAGAAAACAGTAAACTGCTGAAGGAGGGCACAGAGTTGAGAGCTGCTGCTGACAGAGTCCAGGTCAGAAGCCTAAAAGGAATATTTCTTTATTCATCAGGTATTTTAAACCATGCAACCACTGCAGACTGTGGGCTCTTTGTGTTTCACCACACTCAAATAAGGAAAAGACAAATAACTTGAAAGTTATAGTAGGTTTTCCGAGCTTTGAAATATGACAGAACTTGAATTACAGTAATCCGGATAACAAGTTTGATCAGATTGATGAAGTTACCATTAAAAATTAAACAATGGACCCCAAAAAAACGCTGAAAGTTTATTAATTCAAATTTTAAGTTGAAATTATAGCAACTGTGTTCTGTCCTGTTTTGTGCAATGTAACAGTGATACTTTCTACTAATGGTGATCATGTCTAATAAATAAATATCAATATTAAATGTTTATATATATATATATATATATATATATATATACATATATATATTTTAAACAGACCCTGAATAAGCAGCTGCAGAGTCAGTGTACCCATCTCAGTTCTGCTCTGCGTTCACTTACAGAGGAGAATGAAAAACATCAGGCCAGTTTAAAGATATCACACACAAACACACACACACGCACACGCACACGATATGTAACACAACAGGACTCCTTTTTTCTCACTGCGTCTTTTTTAGGCCGAGAGGAGTCGTGTGGTCAAGCAACTGCAAGAGCGAGACCTGCAGCTGGGCACAGCCAGATGCAATATTCAGACTGAGCTGCAGGTGGCACTAACACATAAAGTTAGTCTGCAGCTGGAGCTGTGAGTCTCTTATGCCTAACACTCAAACTTCCCATCATTTTTAACTAATGATCTTTTAACTTTGCAGCCAATTATGCCATCAGGAGACTATTATCAGCTGTCATTAGGCACTGCATTTGTCTCCCACTTTTTTCTCTTTTCTCCCCAAGTTCACTGTCTCATAAGAGTGTGAGTATTGGTTGGAGGGGCATTCTAACATTTGAGAACAGTAGGGTTAGACAGATATATTGGTTTGCAAAGTCTCAGACTGATATTTGATATTTGTCTTTTATTAAAAACCACAGTCTGTCTCTGTGATCCATCAGTGATATGAATCATTTTTGTTAAATTTCTGACTCTTCCTTGGTGTCAGTATTTAATGAAACCTGTCTCACTGTGAACCTAACAACCTAAAATAACAGCATAAGTCTGGCTTTCAGTGCAGAGATTCAGGATGCTAGAGATGTATTTTGGACGTAAAATAGAAAAAAATAGAGAAACGTATTTTAAGTTTTGGAAGTACCTTTTAGATATAAAAAAACTGTCTCTCCTCAGAGAGAGGCTCAAAGGCGAACATGCAAAGCTCCTGCAGAGCTCCTCCATTGCACAGGAGACAGCGGCCACTCAGAGGGAACTGCTGGAGCGAACCACTGAGAGGCTACGGGGGGAGCTGAGCATGGCCAAAAAAGAGGAAGAGGCAGTGAGGAAAGACCTGGAGGATTCAAAAAATGAGGTATATTCAAAAAAAGCAATACTATTTTTGCATGAACGGGTAGTGCTATACCAGGGAGTAAAACAATCCCTCCTGTCCCTTCTCTCTTCGGCCACAAGTTATGTCTTGTTGTCACTAAGCTGGAAGGTGAGAGGAGCAGCCTGGAGACCCAACTTAGTGAGGCCAAGGTAGGATTAGCTAGAAAACCACCCCACCTCATATAATACCTTATATACCTTATACATTCACCTATTGGACATTGAACTAACTTCTGGCCATGTTGGCGGCCTGTGAACTTGTGATTGGCAGCGGGAGGTGGGATCTCTGTGCTCAGCCTTGCAGAGCCAGCAGGATGAGAACAGGAGGCTCATGGGAAAGGTGTCTGCTTTAGAACAGCAACAGGTGAGAGACTGGTCACCATATTGTCATTACAGATCTACTTATACACATTAATAGTTATGAATGGACTGTTAATTGTGCCAAAGTCTTGCTCAGCAGGAATGCCTGAGATGGGCACAGTTGTTCAGATTGTGTGTGTGTCTTTATGGTTGTAACAGGTGGACCAGATGCTGAAGGACCTAACTGACAAGAACAAGCCGGCCTGTGAGAAAGGGAAACTTAAGGTATAAGACACACACAAACACTGATTAGAAATCAATTTTGGCTTCTTATTTCTTAAATGAATCACTCCAGTGCACAGCTGAATAGGTTTTAACCAACATTAACAAGCTCATAAGGTTAATAGGGTGGTCATGTTAGCAAACGTATTTATACATCCAGCTGCTACAGAGCAACATAAGCATTCATTTGGAATTGTGCTTGTCTCCAACAGATGAATGTAAGTCCAATGTTCACTCTCCTTTCAACTCCTGATGGAAATATCTGGCTCTTTAGCTGCTAGATTCACCAGAGCTTTCTCGCCTGCTGTGTCTGGAAACTCGAAGATAAGTTGATAAGTAGTAGTAAATAGTGGTGAGACTGAACCCAAACAGTATAGTCCTGGGCCATAACACCAAAGCAAAGATGCGAAAATGTCCCTTAGAGCTGAAAGGAACTCCAGGATGCTACACCCTCTCTCACACTCACAGTAATTTAATCCATAAAACATATGATGCTTATTATATTCCACTGTTAAGATCTTTAAGTTTCAAGTCTTCAGTTACTGTGGCACAATATGAAAAAATAATAGTCAAAACACTTGTCTTATTAAGCAACTTTCAAATATAGTGTGATGATTTATCATGATTGTAAGCAAAGATATTGTGCTGAAATCTACCTTAACACCTTGCTTTTGTAATTTTCTATGAATGGTACAAATACAATGGTAGCTCCTCGAAGAACTTCTGGCTTTAAAATGTATTTAAGAAGCATGTTGCTTAGGTATGAACTTATTCCTGAACCTTATTCCTGGTAGAGTGGGAAAGCTTCTAATGTTTACTATTATCTATTAATCTAACAATGAATCACGTATTACTGGGACAGCGACAGATTATACTGTAGCTTTCAGAGACTTCTCCTCCTGATAAACAAGAAACCTTGGTTTAACCTGAGTACTATCTCCGATCGAGTGTACTTACAAATCAACAAACTTGTCCTCACAGTGAGCAGTAACATCACCTGTCTTGTGCTGTAGATCAGTGAGCTGGAGGCTGTCTGTGGTCCTGCAGGGGGTGTTGTCAGTCAAACCCTTGAAGACATCCTAGCCTCCCGTACCAGAATCCAGCTCAACGGTCAGACCCTGTGGCGAGAGCAGGAGCAGAAAGACAGGTCAGGAGCTGAATGGGGTTTACAAACACTGCGTGATTGGATGTAGAAGCAGTATGAAGTGTGTGTGCCTGTTTATCCTGTGACATTGTTATGAATACATTCAACACCGTGTCTAGCCTTTAAATCAATCTAATAATTATCTGTGCATTTATCATGTAAGGTAAGATTTCTTCATGAGACTGTAAGTATTGTTTGAAAGCCAACTTACTGTAGTGCACTAATAATATTAGTATACAGTGAATAAGGGCCTTAACAGACACAGTCTAGAGCTTACAGTACAATATCTGTCATGATTGTTTAAAATCATACATGCATGTCCAGACTGTGTGTATTTGGATGATATTAAGCTGTATAACTGGTGATGTTATAGTGTTGCTTTCCTGTGTGCCAGGCTGCAGGCTCAGAGAGAAATCCGGAAACACCAAGCAGAGGTGGAAAAACTCCAGGAACTCCTGACATCTACTCACTCCAAGAGCAACAGAGCTGTAAGGACACACTGCTTCTATAACAGATGCACTCTAACACACACTTTATAGAAGCTGTATAATGTACTTAAAAACACTACACCAGAATTCTTGTTGAAATGTATATTTGTACATGTTTGATATTTGTAGATGAAGTTGCTCATATTTTCTCACTAATTCATGTCAAGAAATGCCTATATTCACTGATTCCTCTGAAGTATTTGCTTGAGAAGGCAACTATAATAAAGAAGATACATTTCTCTAAGTCATGCAGCACTAGGGCAGAAATGACTTAATTGCTTGAGCCAAAAAACAACTTTCAAGACTGCAAATTAAAAATTAGCAAGTGTGAAAAGAATGGAAGTAACTATGGTCAAAATATTTTAAAACATTATTGGTAGAGACTGTCATTTGGTCATGTCCCTGCTGTTCTAAGAAGGTATACTAAGCTGATGTAGTATGGCTGCATTTCTTTTCTTCACTCAGTACCTAAACGTTCTGTGGACTATCAGCCTATTAGTTGTAAATGCATACTGCAATGGCAACTGATAACTGATATTAGGATGAAAAGATTTTATCTTATGCATGCATTATATACCAAAAATATAAGAATTATAGAAATCAAACTCTTTTAACTCTACTTAAGGAAGTTCTGTTTACATTTTTCCATCTCACTTCCGTCTCTTAACAGCAGTCGGGACAAGTAAGCGACACAGTTTGTGCAGCTGTGTAATTATATCAGTGGCAACTATTTTAGGGCCTTTTGATGTTGTGATTACAGATAAAATATAAAGGGACGAGTGAAAAACTCACAGAACACAGCAATGAAAATGATGAACAAATTCCAAGACTTGATTAATGACTCTTTTCTGGTCGGGTATAGTGATTTACTATACATGACAGAACCAGGTTAGCTTTTTCCCTTTCTTTTTGCTAAGCTAAGCTAACCAGTTGTTGGCTGTGGCAGGAAAGCGATTAAGCCTATTTGCCAAAATGTTGAACTGTTCTCTCAGGCAGGTCCTCCATTGTGACTTAATGTTGTAGGTCACTCAAATCTAGTTTTAAGACCTTTTATTTCAGTTGATATTGTGCTTACATGGCTTATATTCCTAAATACATTTGTGATAAATTAAATTACAACAAACTGTGAGGCGTGTAGTATTATAGCCTAGAAGTACTGGGCTCGAGGCAAAATATAATGAAGGTGCCATGTATATTCTGCTGCGTGCCTTATGGGAACTCGAAGTGGACAGGATACATACACAGTGCACAAAGAGGGGGAGTAGCAAGTGGTTAACCTGGGCTCACAACTCATTTTTTGCCATTGGTCCCCCCTAGTGGGTTAATCTGTTTGCATTAACATTCTGGTATAATTACAATATTGTATTTATTACCTTGTGTGTTCCAGCTGGAGTCCTTACAGAAGGCCCTGGATATAGCCAAAGCTGACAACAAGAGGCTCGCCCAGAGTGTGGAGCAGGCTGTGTTGACCAACAGCAGTTTACACAGCAAACTGGAGCAGGCCAGAGACCAGTACCAGGCCACCATCACACTAAGGTACGCTGTCAGAAAAGTGCTCGATGAGAGTGTGTGAACAAGACATCCTATATGCCATGTTATAATGACATAGTCACCATGCACTGCAGAGACGAAGAGCTACGCGTGGCTTGGACAAAGATTGGTCGTTTGTCTGAAGAGCTGGGTGCCATAAAGCAACGAATGAGGGGAGAATATGACTCTTCAATGAGGAGGCTGCATCGAGAAATCACAGAGGTGCCAAATGGCAGAATTTTTTATTCTGTTATATTGATTTTTTTTTTTTTTTGAGAAAATTCTGTGCAGATACAAGATATTCCAGCATGAATCATAACATCTTGTGAAGTCCCTGATTACAGTATCCCAGCCTCAGACTGGTGTTGAAAGACCTCCAAATACAGAGTCAAAGTTTGAAGAAGCCAAAAACAATTCTAAGCTGCTGAGAGATTTACTGAAGTGTGTAAATGTGTAAATATGTAAATATGTATGGACATGCATAATCCTTATTGAAAATCCTTACCTCTGACTGTGCTGTTTTCTTTTGATGCTGTGTTCAAAACAGTAGAGGCTGCCAGGCTTCTCATCCCATACTTTCTTAAAATTCCTCAGCTACTGATTCATCAATGTAAAATAAATAATAAATCATACTAGCACTCTTCTTGCATGTTGTGTCTCGGGTTTGTCCTTCTTACTTTGCTTTTTGTGAATTTCCTGTTACCCTGCCTAGCTAAAAATGACAGTTAAGGACTCGTCAACCGGGTCAGGTGACCTGTCCAAAGCCAACCAAGAGCTCCGCCAGCGGGTGTCTGAGCTGGAGCAGCAGGTGTCCAAACAGCAGGCTCGTATCAGAGAGGAGAGGAGGCAGCGACAGAAGAGCAGAGATTCACAGGACAACTCTCAGAAAGTCGAGGTAATGTTCCCCTGCACACCGTAATAATAAAGATGCTTCCTCCATGAACTACTGTTAAATTATCAAACACAACTGACTCACCTAAAATGATTTAATGTGGTTCTGTGAAGACTTTCAGTGTCCTGTAATGGTCAAAATGTAGTTTCAGTCATCTCCAACCTGGCATGATTACAATTCTGGAGGATAGACTTTTATTATTTTATTATTTATTATTTTTAAATTATTTTTTAATTATCTAACAGCTCAGGTTTGAAGCCTTTAAATATTGGCACAAAATTACATCTTTTGATAGCGTTGATTTAGAATATTCATTATAAAATTGAGGCTTGTATTGTCCTTAAAAATCCTTTCTTGTTAAGTCCTAGTACAGAGAGAGGAGATAAGGTTGGGACCATGTGTGAGGCAAGGCCAGAACAGGTACAAGCAACTAACAATGGAAGAATCTCAAACTTGAGTCAGTCTCTGGCCAGTAATCTTGTATCTTTTGGCTTAAAGGTGTATGTTTGTGTCACTGTGAGCCTGTGTAGATAATTTGATATGAGTCTACTGTGTCCACAGCGCATCAAGAATATTGAGGAGCAAGAGGACAGTAAGCTCCAGCAGGACGGGATGGACTCCCAGCAGGTATGTGCCAGGCATTTTTTTCTCGTTTTTCCATAATGTTTTACTAATACTGTTCAGTTATCACAGGTCTGTCTGTTGTCTTGTATTGGCTTTCTCTTGGTTCAAGGCGAAGCTTGAACTTTTTAAAATAAATGATAGTTCCTCGAAGCCACTGAAACCTTGCGGCTCAGCAGTAAAGCATATTTAGCTATTTGTAAATCTCTGATATTTAGACCTCCTGATTTTATGTGTAGAAATAAGCCTTTAAGTTTGTCTTTATCTTTTTTTAATATTCCCCAGTGACATTTCGATAACCACTGATCTCTGAAGCAATTCTAGTGGAGAATATTTTCAGTTGCATAATATAGATTGATGTTCTCAATCGACTCAAGATTGTTTACTCACGATCAAAATGAATAATGTAATCTATTGACTTGTCCACCAGTGGTTTTAGAAAGTTCTCATGGTCTCACATACATTTTAAGACAATAAATTGAAAATCTCATTGTCAGCAAGCTATTAACTAAACTTTTTTTTCACATTCTGAAAAGCAGACTTTTTTTTTTGTGGTCGACAAACAGGGTCAGCGTAGTTCTTTACAAATGGATAGAATAGACCTTTTTCACAGCCATCATGAAATAGTAGTGTAAACACAGGTGTTACCAGTGATACTAATTAATGCCACCTTTCTACATGCTGGCTCACTGGAAAGGCTGTGCTACACTAAATCGAACTGAACCTTGAAGGACCAGTGTGTAGGATTTAGTGGCATCCAGCTGTTAGGTTGCAGATTGTAATTTACAGAACACAGCTTGTGTCTGTATTTGACAACCTGGGAACTTACTTTGTGTTTAGTGCTAATTAGCAAACGCTAATACGATAAACTAAGATGGTAAATATTAACATCTGCATGTTAGTATTGTCATCGTGAGAATAGAATGAATGAAAGCATTAAGCACAAATCACCACTGTGTGTAAGTACAGCCTCACACACTGCTGGCAGTGCTTGTTAATGGATTTCTGGGTGTCTGATGAAAGTGAAATCCGTTTCCATCCGTCGTTGCATTAAGCAGTCCCGTCCCTCCTCCCCATGTCACCACACTGAAATTCTGCTTCCTGCCCTTCAGGACCGCCCCTTTGTGGAGTTCTTTCTCTTGATTGGATAAAGTGGGAACATGATTCCACAAAATGTATTCTCTGTTTACTGCAGAAAGGAGGGCCTGGCACACCCATGTTACTGATAAAGCACTCTATATCAGTGATGGCTGCTGGAATGTACAACTATATTACACCTTTTTATAGCACCTTTAATTTTATTTAGGGGACATTTAAAGAGAGAACAAATAGTGCAAAATGCTACTTACCATGAGACTACTCCCATGGGTCCAAATGATATATTAACTTTCTTTTAATTGCAACACATTTAAAAGCACACACGTTGCCTGAAATAGTGTGCAGACACTTAAAACCTGAGCTCAGATTTTAACTCACAGTAAGTGCAGCCCGTCTTGCAAACTGATCCCTGTTCACAGTGCAGCAGTAAAGGAAAACCTTCAGGGAGAAACCTTCGAAAAAACACTGTTTCAAACTGGCAGATTGATTGCGACTGGTTAAACTGGTAACAGCTTGTTGATGTTTCGTAATGTAAATGTGTGTGTGTGTGTGTGTTTGATTCCTGCTTGGTTTTGCAGGTTTTATGCAAACGGGAGGCGGAGTGGGAGAGGTGGACTTCGACCATCCAACGCTGGGAGGCCAAGAGAGAGCTGGCTCACATCGCTGGAGGATCCAAACAATCACACTGATAAAAACCAGCACATGGAGAAAAATAACTCTCTCACACACCTGAACACAGACTAAAGCGACATGACACAGTGAACCTTTGTATTTATTCAAACATTAAACGGTGACCAACAGAGACGAAGAGATAGCAGCCACGTGTGGAATAGCAGATGTAGAGTCAGGCGTGTGTGTGATCCTCCACATATATCGATCAGAATTGTGAATGATGGTCAGGAGGGAAACATGCACTCTCATCAAAACAAACTGTACAACCATAACATCTGATAAACTCCACTTTACAAAGATTCTTATTCTTGTACCAAGAGAATATTTATACAAAAGTAATTTTTTAAAATAACACTGCATACAAATGTATGATTCTCCATCTACCATAGTTTATGTACTTTCTTCTGTACAGTGTCAGCTTCTGGTATTTGGTGAGTTAACTGTGAAAGTACTGTATAATGTGACCTGGCACTCTCCCTCTTTCTTGGGTTGTGTAAGATCATTCATCAGGAAACACAGAGACGTGAGTAATCCGATAGTTTCCTCCATTTTCAACAGAAAAGAGCTCTCAGATCAGCTCATCCAAAAACAGTCTTCTCTTTGTTTATTCAATGTTTGATAAATGTACCAGCTCCTTTGTGATTGTACTGTAGGATGAAGAGTTGAGTATAGATCGAGACACAAAGATCCTCCATTTGGCGCTTCACTTTGCTACAAATCCTGAGAAAAACATCCATCACGAGTCCGCCTTCTTTTTTACTAAAAAAGTTGACAAATCTTATAAACCGTACAAACACTCACAGTAACAAGAGGACCAATGCAGGCAAACGATACGACGGTCATGGTGGTTGAACAGTATCCTTTACTGTCTGCAGCCACAAGAGCGCAGCATTGCGACACAAGTCGGACTCCAATACCGAACTGAAAGAACAACATTTTGGCAGGCACAAGGATGCTACTGATCTCAGTTCGTTTTTAATTGGTCCTTGTCCGGGTTACATCGGGGACTTAAATCACTGTTGAAGTTTGATGCTACAAAGAAGAGAGACAATTGAGCAAACATGTTGCTTAATTAAAAACCAAGTAGCTTATGAATCCTACGCATAATGTACGTGATATATCTGCTAAAATAGAAAAATAGATGATTTGAAAATAACTTTAAACATAGAAAAATATATATGATCAAATGATATATATGTACATGATCAATGGTCATATGACCCATGCTTTAGATCGGTTAGAACACACATTGAAAATGTCTACTGATAATGTTGAAAAGATCCTTCATAGGCAAGAATAGGCTTTATCATCCTGTTGGTTCTGATAAATGTGTGATGTAGGATAGGTTGTGTCTGTTTGTGTATGTGTATGTGTTTGTGTGTGGGTGGGTCGGGGCTGTCAAGATGAAGTTCATCCCAAGGTCACCAGGAGGGCGGAGAGGTCACCATACGGAGCATTTGTCTACAGGGTTCATTGGGGAACCCTTTGGACAGTGGAAAACTCGGGCAAACTCATCAAACTGGGACACACTGCCAATCACTCTGCAGGGGGAGGAAACACAGGGACGTCAAACAGTAATGCAGAGATCATGAAACAGTTACAAAACTGTAACTTTGGTGGGGGGGATATCTTGGAGTAGAAGCTTATTGTAAGGTTGAAATCTTTCTTTAAATGTAAAGACAATACACACAACTGTAACACGATGATGACTTTCTGTGAGTGTTCTTTATGTGGGTGTGTATACTGTACCTGTAGTGCTCTGGCGCATGTTTGTCAGTCAGCAGCTGCAAGTAGATGGACTGAGATCTTCTCTTCATGCACCAGTTCTGAAAGGTCAACATGAACACAGCAGTAACCCAATCTGGATACAGTTCAGCCAAAGCAGGACAGCGCTAAGTGACAGTCTAAAAAGTAATACTTCTAATCCACAACGTGGCAGAAGGAAATATTGTACTTGCACCACATTTGTTGTAAAAGTTATTACAGGGTGTCCGCAGGGTCTTAAAAAGTCTGAAATCCAATCATCTTTAGTTGTCAGTAAAGTTTAGACTTTAAAATGTCTTAAATATGAATTTGAAAGGTCTTAAGAATTGATTGGATTAATCAAGTTAACGTTTCTTGTATAAAGCAACATATTTAAGTCTCACTTTTAAATGTGTTTTTGGGATAAGTTAGTGTTTATCATGCTGTGATAACACCAAAAAAAACCTACATGGAACCAATACCAATATTCCTTTATATCTTTACATCCTAGTCTTGAAAGGGCCTTAAAAGTCCAACAGAAACCTTGTTGTTCCACCAAAAAGTGTTTCCCGCTCTAAAAAAAAAGATTCACTGTCAAAAGTCCAAAAAATACACAATATAAACTTGTGAAGCAGAAGTTAGTTTTTTTCCTCTTTTCTACCTAAATAATCATTCAAATCATCATCTATAATAGTAAACGGAATATCGTACTATTTTCTCACTATTTTCTGTTTTCTTGATAAAAATAATATTGAGAATATAATCGTTAGTTGCAGCCCAGCATTTGTCAGTAGTTAGATATTTAAGAAGTTAGATATTTAAGAGGTCATTATGTTTAAAAAGCATGTCTGCTGGCCTGCTGTGCAGATTTGCAGACTGAACCACATTAATTCTCTGTGAATAAAAGGGTTATTGAATTGCCTCACAGCTGAAAATGATGCTTTTCTTTCACCCTGGACATACACATGTGACATTTCAAACAACAGCACGCACATATACATGATTTTCACATCACTTCCCTGTGGAAAGAGTTTTTAAAATGTGCTGAAAGTATGCCAGTTGCATTAAAAAGTGGGTGTAGATTTTGCTACTGTTACATTAAGCCATGAATTTCAATGAAAGCACTGAATTTCAATGATAGTCGTAATAGTTACAAGGAGCAGGGGTGGTCTAGTGCTTAGAGCCACTGTGCTGTCATCAACGCTGCTTTTTTGGATCCCTCCAATGGTTAATGCATCCATCAGCTAATGTTGAGATGATATAGAACCCCTACCTGCTCTGTGATGGGTCGCTTCAGCCGAGAGTGGCAGCTAAAATGATTTAACATGTAAATGTAATGAAAGGCTGTAGAGTAACACTTTGGCAGGCTTCTGTACCTGTGCAAAGGCGATGAAGAGAAGCTGTTCGTGTGTGTATCTAAGGCCAGGCAGGGGCCTCTCAGGACCATGTTCCCTCACCCACTTCTGATACGCCTGGACAGCAAGAGAGAGAGGTGTGAAGGGAGTGAATAATGAAAGACAGGAGACAGAAATTAAATTATGATCCCTCACCTCATGTCCAAAGTAACGTACTAATTTAAACTAACATCTGAAACCAATCGTGAAATTTACAATCTCCCCTTGCCTGAAATGCCTGACACATGATGAAACGTATTTGTTATGTTTACTTCGGCTAATCTAACTGATTGACATGGCTAACAGTCATTGTGGCACTTTTGTTACATTATGTTATTATCATTTACTCAAAATCCTTCCCTCATTTCCTCACTTACTTTTGTTTCTGCATGCAAAAAGCACCCCTCGCTTTTAAATAGAACACTGACACACTCAATAAGGAATTGAAAGATGCAGCATGCCAGACACTCTGCTGTCCAGGCAAACACAAACACACACACCAACACAATGATACAAACGGAGAAAGGGAATTCAAGTAAAAATGTTTATCTTTTATCTTGATTCTGGCACACCTCTGCTCTCTACTTTCATGCAAATAAAACAAAGTGGTTTATGAAGAATAAAGAGTGAGTTGACAGAGGGGCTATAAATTGATAGAGTGAACATTAATATTTAGGTTTTGTGAAGCCACATAGCCACAGTATTTGAACGATTTTTGCCTTTATTGGACAGAGGCAGACAGGAAACGGGAGAGAGAAGGTCATGACATGGAACAAAGGTCACTGGCTGAAATCGAACTGGCAACCACGTGGCCATGCAGCATGCACTGTAACCATTACCTACTACCAAGGTGCTCCACAGTCAGACAGAGTGTTTGAACAATGATGGTGCTGAATATTACTTACATAGTATGACAACTTGAGCCCTCCCATGTCTGCTATGTTCTCCCCCAGTGTCAGACGGCCGTTCACCTAGACATACAGGATGGAAACTTATGAAATACTGAACTGTCTTAATATCTCTGCTTCTATACTTGTGTGCTGGTATGTACATGCACTTCAATAATGTACTTGGATCTGGCGTGTGACTCAAAGGCCAATATCAAACACCAGTATTTTTTCAGTGAAGTCTCTTCTCGCTGACTCAATCTCGCCAATTCAATCATTTCAGTTCTACATTCAAAAAAATATTCTTCTTCACTTTCTTGCCAAAGCTTAGATGATAAGATTAATACCACTCGCATGTCTGTACTCTAAATATGAAGCTGGAGCCAGGACAGCTTAGTTACCTCAGCTCAGAATAAAAAATGGAAACAGCTTGCCTGCTCTGCCCAAAGGTGAAAAATCTACTTACCGGCACCTCTAAGGATGACTAATTAACATGTTATATAAGTTAGTTTAGTCTGTACAAAATCCAACATTGTTGCCAGGCAACCAGTGGTGACGCCACACAGAGTGCTGCTAGTCCTAGTCCTGCTGTTTAACTTCTCATTTACCATACAGATATGAGAGTGGTATCGATGTTTTAGTTCCTGGTAGTGGTCAAATTAGGTCCAAAAACCATGGATCCTACATTTCCCATAATACAACTCTCTCTTTTACTGCCCTAAATGTTTCAAACTCCAATCCCACAGTTTTAATCAGGTTTTCTGTTATGAATTTCTATCCGAGATAACCCTGATGATATCACTGGGAATCAGGGTTATTTTATTAGACTTGAGCTCCTCTAGGGCCACAGAAGGCATAATACTGTTTTTACAGGTTGAGTAGTTCTCCTAAGTAAACTGACCTTTAAAGGACCAGTGTGTGGGATTTAGTGGTATCTAGCAGTGTAATTGCTGATTATAACGCTCTGTTACAAATGTGTAGGAGAAACTATGGTGGCCGCAAAACTCTCGAAAAACGCCCTCTATCTAGAGCCAGTGATTGGATAGATCCACCTAAATGTTTTAATCTGAAGAAAATATTGTAAAAGACAGATAACCAGAATATTATTGAACTTATCAGCAGCTTGATGTATTACTAATACATACAAATAATATTAGAGGACACTGACTTACTGACATGGTTTTCAATAGAATCCTAATATCGGTCCAAAATATTAGTGAACCCTTATTTCAATGTAATGTGATCATATAAATTTTGTGACTGTGTGTGTGTGTGTGCAGACCCACCCTCTGGTTATAAACAGTGAAGTTATCATAGAGCTTGACGATACATTCAGCCTTCGTCTGAAACTTTCTGTAGGACTCCTCTGTCCACCACTGCTTGAGGTTGCCGTGGCGGTCGTACTGGCCCCCTAGGGACATGAACCATTGCATCACTAAGATGAGGGGCAAAAGGGCAGGGGGAGGGCAGTGTTAGCATGGAGACGACACAACCTGCAACTTTCCGTCACAGTCCAAAGAGCTGCCCAGCACGTCCTCTTTTACGCTTTTTGTAGCTGTGGAAGTCAAACCATTCGTTTGAAGGCAAAGCGTTGTTAAACCCAGGTCTGACCTTGGCTGATGTATCCAGTTCAAGAGCCAATTGAACTGCTTTTCCAGCCAGCTAAATTTGTAAAATAAAAAGGATGGTTGACTGTCTGCCAAAGAAGCAGGTAGTGCACAGTCCTTCCACTCACACTCAAAGTTATTCCAGCATTTGGTTAGGTGGCTGGCTGAAGTTTCACACCCTCTTTAAATTCCTTTGATGTATCTTAAAGGGCAGCACTTTAGACTGGAGATGAAAGTTAGAGATTGTGGCTCAAAATAGTCTCTGCTGTACAGTTGTGGGCATTCTATGAATGTTACAAAATTACACAAATCATCAGGGAACCCTCTCTGTCAAATAGAGTACTTAAGTGCAATTGCGGTTGTACTATTCAAAATGGTGAAACATATGGGTGTATAAGCATTGTTGCAATGGACTATGGGTGAGGAGGTTGCAATTCTTACCCCAGTCATCGTATCCGTGTGTTAGCTCGTGGCCAATGATAGCCCCTATTCCTCCGTAGTTCAGAGACCTGGCAGCAGAAAGGAGAGATATGGAATATTGCCTGGTTCTTGTTAAACAAATGAGATGTAACATGTTACCTGAGCTTTAAACATGCTGGATTTTGTTACTTCTGGACAGAGCCAGGTTAGCTGTTTTCCCCCACTTCCAGTCAAAACCAAATGTGAACCCATCATAGAGTGCCGTTTTGAGCTTCAAGGATTGTCTTTTTGACCATGTTGCAGTTGTGACGTACTGCGAGTTGAGCTGTGCTTAGGTTCAACTTGTCCATAGCAGGAAACAATGACGGCTTTTCTGGTCACACACTTTCTTGTATTACTGATAAACAGTCCACTAAAATATGATTCTGAAAAGACTTTAGGCGAGAAATAGTCAACGCAGTAACAGAATCTTGATTCATATTTGATCAGCACTGCCTAGTTTCACAGTTTTTCTGAGCCTCTGTTTTCAAGTAGAAAAATGTACACTAAAATAGTTCAGTCAGGACCACTTTGCAATTAAATATCCTTTATGCAGAAATTGGGGTGGAGGGCTCGGACCGAGGTGAGTGTGCTGTCTTGTTTTTCTGTGTTTTTGTTTGTATGTGGTTATAGTGTGGGATATTTCTTTGGTATGTGGGGCCTGATTAGATGTGTATTTTAGGTGAGAAATAGGCAACGCAGTAACAGAATCATGCTGTATGTAAACTCAGTAGGAAACCTTTTACTGAGCTATTAAATCAAGTGAGAAGTAGAATAATTTTGCCATTAGGTTGAATACAAACACAGTTCTGTAGCCAATAGAGCTGCCCCCTGCTGGCCATTAGAAACAATGCAGATTTAAGGCACTTGCATTGGCTTCACTTCTCACAGGAAGCACATTTCCCAAAATGTCACTAACAAAACTATCACTTAAAGGTTTTAAAGAGGTTGTCTACACCTTTAGGGGCATTCATTTATCATAAAAAATAGGGGCCTTTTTTAAATGAAGTAATATCCATTAAGAAAAAGATACTATATGATTTGTGGTTTCACTATTATAGTAAGTGTGTTTGCATGACAAAGTTCGGTCCTTATGCATATCCACTCACTTTACAACAAAGCCATATGCCTTTTTACTGATGTGAGGTGTCTCATTACAGTCTGCTCTGTGGAGTTCTTTTCCTCTGTTTTGTCCCATTGTCTTCATTGCTAATTCTGCTCAGCTGAGCCAGACAAAATACACGTTGCACTTGGGATTTAATTCTAGATCCACGTGGTTCAGATTGGTATTGAATAAAAAGAAGACTGATTAGGAAATACCAGATATCCGTTTCACATGTGAGGGAAGAAGTCAGCACGGGGGACCTTTCAGCTGCAGTGTGGACATAAAACTTAATTTCTTAAAGTTGTTGATACAAAATACAGCACCCTGTAACACGTCCCACTTGTCTAAGCACCCACTGGCCCAAAAACAGCGGGTGGCTCCACCTCTCCTTGACCCTGGGCCGGGCTGGGGCGCTGTCTTTGCAGCACATGCAGATATAGAGAGCGATGAGAGGGCAGACTTGGGGCTATTCACATGGCTACGTCTGAAAATGACTTTCTGACAGCTAGTCGATACGCTGCCTCACACTGGGCCCCGACTCCCCCGCTAAACTAACTGGCTGATTGAAGCTTCATTATACTCCACGTGATAGCGGCGAGGTGCTTGTGTGTGTGTGTGTGTGGGAGTGAGAGAGTGAGAGTTTATAGGAGGTTAGGGCTACTGCAGTAATAACTTCAAGAGGACAGGTACACGCACACACACACACTTCACTTTACTACATCATTAATTAATACTGATTAGCATGCATGGCAGCAGGTAGTGGAAGTAGAGGAGATCACCCCTAATGAAGACATAGAAGTGTTAGCTAATGTTGGGTACACAAACTGCTAATTGAGAAGTGTGTGTGGTGTGTGTGTGGTTTCTCAGGGGAGTTGATATGAAGGCAGGAGGTGCAGCTATTTGGACTGTACGTGTTGGCTTGGATTGGAATAATACTCAGTAGTGGCAGCAGCCACTGTTTGCTCCTCAGTGAATAGCTTTAGTGAACAAAAGATATGTTCAGTGGAAACCATCTTTTCCTCAGTGCTATAGTGCTTTGGTTTCTCCAAACACACCAAACGTTTTGGATCAATGTCCTACCCTCCAGTCATTTAGTTTTAAAGGATGTGTCGGATTTAGTGGCATTTAGTGGTTTCAATTTGAATAAAGCTCAGCCTTCCAAGTGTGTAGGAGAAACTACGGAGGCCGCAAAACGTGAAAGGCCGTATCTGTAGCCAGTGTTTG